TAAATCTGATTATGATTACAATAATCGACTTGGCGAGTCAAACTGGTGGGAAATTAAATGTTATCATAATTTCAATAACCGATTTAGTGAGTCAAATATGATTATTATTACAATAATCTACTCGGTGAGTCAAATTGGTGGAGAATTAAATAATGTCATATTTACCGAACTAACGCGTTCAATCAGATTACAATTATAATAATTAATTTGGCGTCACACTGGTGGAGAATTAAATGTAATCATAATTATAGAAACCGGCTTAATGAATTGAATCTGATTATGATTACATTGATCGACTTGGTGAATCAAACGAATGACTATAACGTTTTAAACTTTAAAATAAACTTTCTTTCTTTTCCTCGCTTCAATGGTGTAACCATGCAACTAGAAATGCTCGTTTTCTTTTTGAAGATGTATATTTTAGTCTATTTCATGTCCAAAGTTTTTCAAAGTCCGTTTATTTAGAGTACGCCAAGTTACAACCTGGTTGGACAATGAACTTGATAAATTTGAACATTAATTTGATATATGAATATACTTTTAAAAAGAATAATTCATACAATAAACCGACAAATAGAGATTATTCTTGTTGACTAATTCCTAGTTAAGAAAGTGGGTTTGCTTGTCTTTTTGTTAAATGACTGTTCTTGGAATTAAGGATGGGCGGCTTCCAACTGATGTCAGAAAGGCCACAGAAACTCAGAAATAATAGAATAGAATCCTCAAGATAGAGAATGAAACAAGAGAGGAAAGTGAGATAAGACAAAGAAGAATAGAGGGAATTATCTAACGTAGTGAAGGACAAGGCTGAATTTGACAGCCACCCCCACATCCAGCCGTCAAACGACAGCCAGCGCTGGCGCCGGCGACGCCTCTGCTAAGCCGACAAATTCCATTCTGCTCTACCCTGCCCTAAGCACTATTGTTTTCTTGATTATTCTTTTTCGGGGTCAGCGAGTTATCTGTGCATGTTTAGTATATTTTCAATTACGGTGACCTGCGACTGCGATTACTGATCAAGGCTGCTAAGGAGAAATTTTTTTTTTTTGTTTCTTTCGTTGGGGTATGATTATACCTAAAGAAGTCCTCTTTTTTTTCCTCCACTACGCCAGTTAAGAGAATCTGTACACTGTCTGTCGAGTCTTTGGGAGAGAGAGATAAAATTAATGAGTGAGCTTCTCTGTCACAACCACTTCTCTCTATAGTTCTATCTCCTGAAGTTGAAGAACGTAAAAGGGCAAGTGGCTGATCTCTCTCTTGATTTTCTCTATATACATGCCCCATCCTCAGTTTCTGTCTTTCCCAGTATTAAACCTCATTTAGGGCATGAAATCTCAATAGATTTTGTGGATTTGGATAGATAGTGCAAGAAAGATATAGGTTTTAAATTTTAGTTAGTGTTTTTGAATACTAGAAAACCCCTTGTTTAATTTTATGGTGGACAGGTACAGAAGAAATAAAATCTCATGCACCATTTTTCCCGCTGTATGCATCTGATTCTCATAATCCCGTCAGATTGCATACATATATCCATAGCGTTGAATAATATCAGCTAAACACGCATGCAGTTAAAGCGTCCACACCCAAATTCTATCACAATTCACAAGCCAAAACACAGACTTTAACCTATATATAAACAGCTATACCCATAACCAAATCATATATAAAAAAGGTAAAAAAGGAGGGAAATATATATGGAGGCTCATGGGAGAGGAGAATGGCAAGAAGATCAGCAAAATCAACGAGGAGTGAAGCTGCCGGAGGCTCAAATGTCTCGCCACCAACCTCCGCCGCCACAAAGGTGCCCTAGGTGTGATTCGGACAGCACAAAGTTCTGCTACTTTAACAATTACAGCCTCTCTCAACCACGTTACTTCTGCAAGGCTTGCAGAAGGTACTGGACTCA